TTCAAACCAGGTAGCTAGCTGCACAGGACAACGGGTAAGAAAACAACAGAGCTGTTCATTGTTTGATAAGAAATATGGCAATGGAATTTGGACGCATTGTGGTCGCCGGGTTTTCCACAAATGGGTATTTTCATTTATCTTTTTTTCACCACCCAATGTCAATCAATCGTACTGAAACGGTTTACGGAGCGTTTCGCCCTAAGGAGCCACACTCGTATTGAAACAGCAGCAAGCAATTCCGGTCATCAACCCAGTCCGCGTACCACATGATTGCATAATCACAAACTAAGTGTCTAAATTAAACTTTTCTAGAACGGTTCAAAACATTTTTTTAGAACATATGGTAGGAACAGTCAGCCAAACACCAAAAATGATCTCGTTTGTTCCAACTATCAAACTACGGTTAAAGTATTCGAAATTTATTAAACTTTTGGCTGTCTACCAAGTATTATTTCATCGCAGAAAAGAAAAGAAAAACTGCACGAGATTGAATAACTATAGACAAACAATTCGGGGGTGGATTGTCTCATGAGTAGTAAGAAATAAAAGAAATTTAATTTTAGAAAATCAACCAATCGTTAAAATCAAAAGTTATTCTTGAGAACGAACGAAATGCAGTCTCTCGCAAACAAAGCAAAAACAATACTCATTTACAAAAATAGATTTTGAATCACAAACGCATATATGGGTTTGTGAGGCAACTTCAGTTCGAACTTCGCCGTAGTCAAGCGCCTTAAACAACCCGTTCGAAAACGCATGTGAGGAAGACACACACACACAGGGGTGGTGGTGGTGGTGGTGGTGCAGTGGTTTAGTCGCTGTCACCCGCGTGCTTTGGACCCTATGGTCCGAGGTTCGAACTCCACCACCGCGGTTCGCGACTCGAGGTCCCGCGGGGCTTAGGTTACCAGTTTCCATGACAGAGCAGCAGGTTCTCGTGACAATGGGTATCGCCCCGTCTGCTGTTCATCCCACTTAGGTGTGTAATAAAAAAATAGAATCAATGATATTAGGAAAACCAAAATATTTCGGTACGAACAAACAATACAATCTGAATTTTATTAATTTTTATCATTCAAATTAAATAATTGTAAAATAGATGAGCATTATTATTCCTCGTACCTTTTTCAGTTTAAAATGTCCGAATATCAATTTAACATGTCACAATATAAACTTGAGATGTATCCGAGTATCCAGTTAAGATGTCATGTTGCTATGTGGATAGTATCTTGCACAGTACAGGATGAAAACGTTCGATGGGACCGCTGCTTACCCAGATCCATGTGTGTCCTACCTGCATAGACTGATCTGCGGCCCCCAAAAATATCGTCCCACGCTCAACAAATTATATGCACCAACGTCCAACCCCCATTTCACGTCTTTCGCTACCACCCCTTTTGTATCGTGGTGAGCACTGTTCAGTCTTCAGCTCTTTTGTCTGATTAAGTGAAAAAATGAGTTCATCGTGTAACGGACCCCACTAAACCCTAAAGCGCTCCTTTTTGTTTCGTATTCGGCCAAGCCTTCGTCGGTTTGCACGTGGTGGCAAAGCTCTGACTGAATTGTGGGTTAGACTGTCCAGTCTGTGTGTGCAAACAAGCAGACAAGATCATCGTCGATGCGTATCTTCGTTGAGCGTGGGACGATATTTTCGGGGGCCGCAGATCAGTATATTCAAAGAGGGCGCACATGGATCTGGGTAAACAGGGATCGTATCGAACGTTTTCACTCTGTACTGTGCAAGATACTATCCACATAGCAACATGACATCTTAACTTGATACTCGGATACATCTCAAGTTTATATTGTGACATGTTAAATTGATATTCGGACATCGTAAACTGAAAAAGGTATAGTTTACTGGAAAAAGAACCTCAAACTAGTGCTCCCTGAAATAAATAGCACAAATTTTTTAAAAAATTGTACAAGAAACCGCTTCTTTTGTATTGTTTTGTATTGTATTGTATTATATTGTGTTGTATTGAAGCGTTAAGGAGTTATATACAAGCTTTCAACCAAAAACAAGCCACTTGCACAATACTGGCAAAAAGGTGAAAAAGTGGGATATCAAGTGTGCAAAAATGCGAGTTACTACTAAATGCTTTGGAAAGCTGACCACAAACACTTTCTTTGTGGGTCAGTATCCGGGCAAGGTACGATACCAAAGAGCTTCTATAGGCAGATATTCAAAATAGAAAATGCTTGAATTCGGGTACGGGTTTAAGAGTGCGAGTTGCAGGTGCAATCAGATAGAATATTATTAGCAAACTTCAAGCACGCTTCAATATGAGCGTTACACATATTGCCAATCAGAACAGAAAACGGAACTTGAGAGACACGGCTGACAATTGAGAGGCCATGCCTCAGCAACTTGAAATTAGCCTCCAGCAAAGGTTTGGGTAGTCAAGAACCAGCGAAGGTTACTTTCAAGTGTGACAACTAAGTACGTCATATGGCTGACCCTGCTAATTGGTTTTCCATTGGTTTCCATTGTCGGCGGGAGATGGGGAACGGTTTAGAGTAAAGGTACATTCAAGGTTTCTTTCGAATTAAGATTAGGACCGGAAGAATTGGAATATGTCACGAGGTGGGATAGGTTTGTGTTATATTCATCCAGTTCTGATTGATTAGATGCGGAAACAGAAATGGCGGTATCAGCAGCATGCTTAAAATATCGCACAAGCGGAGTAATAGGTGAGTCATCGACATATGTCGCAAACATGGAAGGTGTTAAGACAGCCCCCTGAAGTACACCCGAACTATTGAGGTATGCCGTTGATTGTCTTCTCCCCAATTTAGATTACTGATAGCTTCGTGAAAATTAGTCACCAAAGCAGACCGTATCTGCAACAGTTGTCCAGAAACATTGCTTTTATTATGGGTTAATGTACCCTTTAGTGCATTTGGAGAGGTATGGAAAAATTTTGAGAAAATCAGCAATAGCCCAAACTTTATGTAGTTCTGATCTTCACCATATAAATCTCAACAGGCAATTATCAATTCTCGTGCAGTTTTCACATTTAGGATATGGAGTTATAATTGACCAACAGTAAAATCATTTAACAGCTTT